TTTGTGATGTTATTTCTCCTTTAATATGCTTTCTTCAAAACATTGTTTTATTTATGATCAGAATTACTTGAAGACGGCAGTATCTTCAACTAGACAAGGCACACACATACACAAATGTTTAAGTGAAATTATCTCAACACCATGATTTATTAAGTAGTGTTTTGATTGAAATCATACTAAATCTTTAGATATTTAATGTAGCATAGTAAAAATGAATAATCAGAGTAATCATATTTAAAGATTAAGACTAAATCAAGTTTCCTGTTTTGAAAAATGCAAGCAGCAAGACTAGGAGTAAAATAGAAAAGGAAATTCATGAGAGAAAATTATTCTGTAAAGTGTTTTCAAAGTATGGTTTTCTTTTTCAACATACAAGGACAACAACTAGACCCTTAGGCCTGGGTTTGCTTTTCAGTTCTACAAAAAAATAATCATATTGATTTTGAACATCCATGCAGTGACAAACCTTCATCAGAAAAAGTCTGAAACATTCCCTTTCGTATCAAGAAAATCCACACCTTCCTTGATACCATGTGTACAGAGCTATACACTAATCACTTCTAGGTCTCAGAGCCACAAAGTTGCCTACTCCCACCAAATGTTGAAAATACATGTTGGACTATATCAGTAGCCATCAAGATTTTGGCAATACAGTATACAGGAAAAAGAAGCAATCAAACAGTGAAAAGACTGAAAGTACATAAAGATGTCAAGTGAAGATATATCTCGTTTTAACACAGGACAAAGAAGAAGAAAATGCTGTGAATTCACAGTGCAAAGCCACAGTACAAGTCACTTCAGTATAAAGAATGCTTCTCTTCCACATTCCATTTCCAAGGAAAAACATATTCTATCATATCTGTATTTTCATTGTAACTACCAAAGTGAAAAATGTAGTATAATTTTATTATTAGCAAGCAAGTTGGTCTTTTGCAATGAGAATTTGTCCCAAAATAACAACAGAGGTTTAGAAGAAGAATCCGAGGGGAATGGGAGAGGAAATTGTCAACTTCTCAATAATGCTAAAATCTTAGAACCTTTGAGTTCAATCTTCTCAACCTTTTACTTTTTTGCTGTAGTTGTCATGTATTTTACTTTCACATTTAAATCAGGCATAATAGTATTTGTTTTATAAAGTCAATAATCATTCATGTTCGCCAACATATTTATCCTCTTTTTTTCTTATTCTGTCTGCTTTTCCGTGATTTTTCTTTTCTGCCTGGAAAAAAATGAACTTGAGTTTCTTTCTTTAGGTTATCCTAGATGCTGATATACTCATTTAATTTATATTAGCCCCCAAATATCTTATTACACTTTCATTTTTTTGAAAAAGACACTTGACAGTATAAGGAATTACAGTGTAGTAAGTATTTCTTTCACTAATTAAAATTTTCACTACATTATTCTCTAGTTTCTGACATTTTTGCTGAGAAAAGAGTAAGTTTTATTTCCTTAATGGTAATTTTTTTCTTCCTCTCTCTCCCACCTCCCATCCTACCTTTTTTCCTTCCATTTTTCCTTTCTGACTCTAAAGTTTTCTCTGTGTTTGACCTTCAGCAATTTGATTAGTCTGTTTCTAGGTGTAGTTACTTTTCTATTGAACATCTGGATTTAATGATTTTTTGGTATATGTAGGTTGATACAGTTCAGTTACCTTGAAAGATTTATATACCTTATTTTTTAAATGTGATTTATGTTTTAATCTCTTCCTCTTCTTCTGGTACTCTGATTAGAATATGTGACACTACTGTAGAATTTCTGACACTTGTGACACTTTTGCGATGTTCAGTGGTTTCCGTCCTTGTTGCTCTGTTTCAGTTCTATTTCTTCTCTTCTCCACTTTACTAATCTCATCTGCTGAGGCATCATGTATAAATACCTCGTAAACTCATCTATTTAACTGATAACTTTAGATAGTTTTAGTAACAGAATATCAGTTTAATTCATCATGTAGATAATTATCTGATTCCATTTTTATTTTGTACAACTTCTGGTCTAGTTCTCTGAACATAGCAATTACATTTATTTTAAAGTCATAGACTGCTGACTAAAACATCTTAGTTGCTTATACCTTTATCATCAGTTTTTCCCCATTAGTGTTCATGTTTTACAACTATGTGATTATAATGCATATGATTATAGGACACTGAATAGAACCTCAGAGGCTGCAGATAACATATTTTTCCATAGTGTACTTTCTCTTTCCTTTAAGCAATTACGTGAGCTGCCAGTCACATCCATTAAATCTGATATTAAGCCAGCTGTAGATTACTTCAGAGATTTAGTTTGGATCTACACCTGGAACAACCCCGCCATTCTACTATTACATATATTGTGTACCCATCTCCAGAGTCTAAATCCCACAGGAATTTGAGCTCTGAATATAGATTTGTAACATAGCTTTCCAATTTCTTCCCAATGTGAATTCAGTATCTGGCAAATGTCTTGAAGTGAAGAATGACAGTGATATTCATGCTATCTTTTTTTCTCCTTAATGGCTTGGCTTCCTAAATACTTAAAATTATTAAAGCATTTACTCTTCCTCTTTGGAAAGCTGATTTCAACTCCCTGGCCTTCTCTTCATAATCCTAGAGTCAGCAAATGCCCGTGGATAATAGTTTCAAGTTTCCAAATTGTCATTCTAGCCTAACACAATCACTAAAATTGCTACTTTAGCTTTCTTGCCCCCCACAGAAACTTTCTGTCAGGACTATACCCAATCATTAGCTTGCCCACAGGATCAGCAAGTGGCCCTGGAAGCAAGGGGAGGGTAGGGGGTGGAATTGGAAATCATCAGAACACAGAGGGTCTGTTCTCCAGAACATGGACGCACTTAGTGCTCATTCTTTCTGAAGCTGTCTATATAATAAGCAAAGTCATTTACCCAGTGTTTCTTGTTTTAATGGGAACATACATCTGGTATTAATGACTGCATCTCCTCCAAAAATAAAATATCTTCTGTTCAAGTTTTTTAAGATTTGGAATTTTCAAGCCTGAGACTTTGTGATTTGTATTATCAAACCAAGATAATAAAAACAATGGTTGTGGGTGTTTTCAATATTTAATTGCATTTTATCAGATACATCACACCAACTTCCAAGATTCTATGTCCCTCCTGTAAGGTTGCTCCTATGTGCATTCCTTTGTTAATAATCACTTTCTAATTCAGATCAGGTATTTATATTGGAAACCATGCCAGAGTCTCTATCAGTTCATAACATCCAAGAAGAGAGGAAAAGTTTTATGTATAAATATGAGTGATGGCAGAAAAAGAGATAATTTAGGAGGTTCAGAGTTAACTGTGCCAGAAAAAGAAAATTAGAGACTATTATGGAATTGATATAAACCAAAAAGCTACATGAGAAACCAAATAAAAAGGAGTTTCCACTGCATAAAAAAAATTAGAAGGGTAAGCAAGTGAGAGGATAGCACATTACAGTGCAAATTTTTTTGTTTGGATTAAATGTCATCTTTTAAAAATTCTATTTTAGCAATCCATAAAGAGCAAACAAATAGCTAGAATTAAGATTGATATTTAGAATGAGAACTTTTACAAAATGAAAATCAAGTGTCAAAACCTAATACCAAAGTTTTCATCGTGGAATATTCCAGAACAAAGGCCATGGGCAGGCTAAGCTCTCCTTTGTGCAATAATATCGAGGACATAGAAAAAAACTGTACATCTTTGGTGATTGGTTTGCTGATTTTTGTATATAGGTTCTGACATCAATTGGGACAAAACAAAAGCCTATTGTGAGTCTAAGGACCTTAATTAATTGGGTCCATTGTCTTTCTATGTACTTGATTTTATCAGCTCTACTACAGAAGTGGCTAGGCACAGAAAATAATTAATGTTCAAAATTAACAGAAAAAATACTAGCAAGTATTAGAAAAACACAAGGGATTTATATAAGACTAGTGGCCCTATTGAAAAAGGTGCTGAATTAGAAAAGAGACAATCTCATTAGGAAATAAGGCTTAAATACTTTAATCAAGAGATTACAGGTTTGACATTGTTCTCAGTGATTCAAATTGTATATTTCATTTTCTTTGTTCAAAATACATTTTATAGAGGTAATGAATATATATGCAGAAAACATAAAGAAAGATGGCCATATGGTTAAGAAGTAAATCTGCTTCCTATCCCTAACTATTCTTTCCATATTCCTGAATTCTCTTCAAATAGTACAGCGCAGTAGAGTAACTACCATCTGTAGCAGTTTACATCTTTCAAAATACTTGGTAAAGCAGTCTGAAGTTTCCCAATTCTTAGAAAGGGTAAATATTTAAAGAGATGAGAAAGTTAATTGTTCCAGTTTGATATTATATGTTGTATACATGTATGAAATTATTGTGCTATACCTCATAAATGGCACATATGTTGTATATCAAGTAAAAAGAAAATAAGATATACTATGTATATCTTATGTATGTATATGTGATCCTATCTCTATACCTATTCTATACATCAAAGATAACATATTAAGTATACTTACCATGCCAATCTTTTATAGCTGTAATATTATAAAGACCTTTCATAGTAGTGTATGAGAACTATTTCATTCTTCTGAAATGCGAAGGGGAAAGTTTGACTATTGTTCAGCATCTTAAACAGCCTTATAATTCACTTTCCTTAAAGATCACTATACACAGTAATTTAATATCTCTTCAACATTGGCATAATTTACTTTGGTCCTTTATTAACTAAAAGATTGACAGTCATGATTTCAAATTATGGCTATCATCCAGTTTTGAAAACTCTCTGCCTTTAGAGCAGTTGGGAGAAATCTGGAGCAGTAATTACTGGATTAAATCCGACATCTTTCCTGGGGGCTAGTTCCCCAGCTGAGAGGCTGTTATGGATTTCACATCCATTATCTCTGAGAGCCTTCAAAAATATCGTTTGCATGTGTGCTCTGTCCCGTGAGAATTTGGTCCCTGACTTGACCAGTTTGCAAAGCTGACAAGCACAGGCTCTTTAATAGAGGAGCATCCAAACTAAACTACAATCCTTCCAGGCTAGTAAAGCACTTGGATAAAAATGCGCAAATCCAGTCACTATCTTGAAACAGGGAAAAGCCACCCTGTGAGCAACCTTGAGCCCCAGTCTGGTAAGTTCTGTGAGCTGCAGGAACAACTTGAATATATGAAATTGTGTCTAATGTATGGTCATTAACTCAAAAAAAAAGAGGAAAGAAGAAGAGAAAAAGAGGGAGGGAGGGAAGGAATATTTAGAAAGAGAATTAATTTCACCAGGTTAGAGATGCTTGGAGTAATAATTACTAGCAATTACATTTCATGACGTATTTTAGGTTTACAAAGGAAATTTATAAATACTTATCCAGGTAAGTATTTGGAGTTATGTGAATTTTATATGGCTGATATTTCCCAAAATGAAGTCTGTGCTTAGTATGTTAACATATGATCACATGAGACTGCTACTCATAACTGAAATTGAAACTTTTCAGAAAAATTTTTGCAGGATAGTTAATGTTAAGGGGGTGACGGAGAGGGTTTCTTCTGAGGTGCTGTCAATGCCTTTTCTTTTACATGGATGTTCAATATAGTCCCACTAACCTATATATTTGTGATATGTGTACTTTTGAGTATCTTTATTATGCTTTAAAAACTTTAAGTGGAAAAAAATTGATAGAAATAATACATGTTTCAAAAGTTAGAAAAAAATTTATTAATATGAACCATAAATTTGTCCAACTGACCAGAATAATACACATTTTAATCTGTAGATCTTCAGTTATATATATATATACACACACACATATATTCCAACAAAATATACAATCACAATGTAATACCTTTTATAATTTTTTCACATTACATTGTAAACAAACATTTTCCCTAATACTCTTAATGTAGCACTTATTTTTGGTTGTTATTTTCTTCACAAATCATTGAATTGCATCAAAATGAATTGACACCTTCAGTGTTATACAATGCCTTGTGCTTTCCTTCGGAATCCTATTTTGGCCCCTCTCATTCTAAGCCACTTACTCAATTCTTTTGAAAAAATTGGCCAATAGCAATATCTCCATGCATCTGCCAAGAATAATTTCAATGTTTAAAAAATTATAACAAATGAAAACATTAAGGTCTTAAAAGATTGGGATTGTAATGGTAGAAAAATAGCATTACAGTGGGTATGTCAAACCAAGCTTTTTGCTGTATTCTTAATGTCAGAACTGGTCTGTTATTCAAGGTAAATTTTCAATTTCTCCCTAATAAGTTGTGAGCGCTTTCACGGTTGTAAATATGATATATTAATTCTTCTATGCCAACACCTACAACAGAACATAGCATGGAATAAATGATCACTAAATATTAGCATTCAAAAGGAAAAGGGAAACAGAGAGGAGGAAAGAAAGAAGGAGAAGAGAAGAATAAAATGAAAACCAAGCTTTGTGAGCAGGGAGGGAAAGGGGGTTTAAAAATGAGGGATGGGAATGGGAAAAAAGAGGAATCAACATATATGGTCCTTATATCTACCTAAATTGTACCAATACTTAAATAATTAAATAGATTAATTAATTAATTTTAAGATAATGAGTGAATGGATAATTGAGTGTGAATTTTCAATGATGAATTAATAAATAAATATTTCACCTTTTTCCAGGTATCTTAGGTGCCTTCTTAATCATAATGAGAGAGAATAAGGTAAAGACTATAACTTTTTCTCTACAATTGTGGTTTTGCATGGATTCATTATACTCAAAGTCGTAATGTCAAATATACTAAGATTTTTTTTTTCTAACATTGTGGAAGTAGTTTATACAAGTAACCACCACTTGTTATGTTTAAATCTTAAATGTCACCCCAAAGTCCCACAATCTGAAGCCTGTGGTTGCCAACTTGTGGTGCTATTTGAAGGTGATGGAGTCTTTAAGAGATGGGGGCCTTGCGGGAGGAAGTTAGGTCATTGCAAGTATGCTCTAGACGGGGATATTAGGAATCTGGCACTTCCTCTTTTTTTCTGCTTCCTATGGCCATATGGTGAACAGTGTTCTGGCATACTATGATGTGCAGCCTCTTTACAGGCCTAAAAGTAATGGGGCCAACCTTCTATGGACTGAAACCTCTGAAGATATGTCAAAATAACTTCTCCTCTGAAGAAATACTACAGCATTGTCATTTCTCTTGAAAAGCTAAACTGCTGGCTTTCCACTTCCTTATTCAGTCTACATTTTCAACCTTACCCCTTGCCTGTTTTCAATTAATCTCCCCTTGAAGGCAGAAATCACCATCTTTGAATTTATCTTTATTAAACAATTCTCAGTGCCTACCACAGTGGCTTGAAAACCATGGCTTTCTATAAATGCTAGTAGTATCCAACCACTCCTTTGGTTCTTCAAGGACTATGTTTCCTCTCCATGTGTTCCGCTGGGTTGCATTATCTCCCTGTTGCATCAGGAACTCTTGAAGTTTTCTCCCCATGCAATATGCTTCCCAGCATGCAGCCCATTTTTAACTACCAGCACAAGCCAAGCTCTTCATCATTAAATTGAACTTTCAAAATGAAGAGAAGGAATGTGATTATTTAATTTCTTCCTATCACAACCCTTACAACACAGCAGTAACAAAGAAAGCCTCAATGTGCTATCCTAGTATTAACTCTGAGTTCTCTCAACTGACTCAGAAACACTGGGTGTGGTACAGAGACAGACAATTTAAAAAGAGCTACAGAAACTTTCAAAAAAGAAACAAAGAGAAGTTTTATAACTCAGTAATGCAATGTCCATAATCAAATATTTGCCAAAAAAACTTTTTGTCAGATGAGATTACAACAGACAGGATATGACAGAAAAATTAGTAATTATAAAAACAGAATAATTGCATTCACAGAGAAAAAGAAATTGAGAAAAGAAAAGAGAAAAAAAGTCTGAAGGACCTATGAACATTCAGAGGAAAGAAGAGAGAAGATAGAATAAAAATATTACATGCATTATATAGTAAGTTTTTTTTCAAAAAATTAATGAAAAAGAGCATAACCATTCAACTAAGCTATCACAAAATACCAAAGGCAAACTTAAACAAATGAGTCATGCTGCAAAAAGGGAGAGAATAAAAATCATAAAAGCAGACAAAATCGTAATACATATTTCATACAGAACATGATAAAAAATGACTTCTGATTTCTAATCAGAAGCACAGGGTAGTAGAAGACAACTAAGCAACATTTTCATGTGTTAAAGAGAATACAAGTTGTGGAGCTACAATTCTATACTGTTGTCCTTTCATGTGGGGAAGGCCGGGATTTGTTCTAGGAACCCAGTGATACCAAAATCAAAGATGTTCAAGTCTCCAGTAAAAAAGGAGAGCATATCAGCATATAACATATATATATATATATCCTCTTATATACTGTAAACCATCTCTACATGACTTATAATTCCCAATATGTAAATGCTATGAAAATATATGTTATACAATAGGTGATGGACATATACAGTACATATTTAAACTTTAAAATATTATAGTAAAAGATACTGTTAGGTAAAGAGTGATGGCCCAGTAAAGAACACAGCCAGCCTAAATTTGGAGTTCTGCATGATCTACCCAAAATAACTCCAGAGGAAAGTCTGAGTCAAGTTGATTGAGCTGAGCTTTATATTGACAGTTTGAGAATGAGGCATCTGTGAAGCAAAGTAGCTGAGGAGCAATGGTTATGTGGCAATTAGCTATCGTAATAGGGCAATGTTTTGCTGTGCCAGGTTTGGTTTGACCTAGCAGTGCAGGCAAGGTGGCAGCAGGATGTGGAAACAGACTGTAATTGTTCCCAGAAGTCAGGAAGTTGGCATATGGGGGGCACACAGGAGTCAGACCTATCCATTCCTGTTTTAAGGATAATAAAGAAAAATGAGGTAAGTGTCAAGTAGTGGGGTGTGAGCTTTTCATTCTCATGGAGCTGCTTCGAGCTAAGTGAGGGAGAAGCTGTGGAGCCAATAAGGGAGACTGGAAGGAAACAGTGACCACTTGAGAAGCGAATTGAGGCATCCTTGTCTACATGACGATAGACTGGACCTGGAGAAAATCAAGGAGCATACACGAGTAGGAGGAATCAGGAAACAGTATGCCCTAGAAGGGGTATAAGACAGGAGCTCCAGAAAGTGGTAGGCAGCCAGGAAGGGTCTGAAACAAAAGCTGATTTTGTAGGGAAGTGGCTTGGTCATCCAGCCTTTTGATGACATCCTATATAAGCCCAGACTTGGTGAAGAAACAGCAGGTTTGCACCCAAACCTCGGTACAATAAAAGACAAGAGCCTTTTTCTTAAGGGACTGGGATTCTAAATCTTTCCAACTTTTGAGGAGACATTTTAGAGGAGAGTGTGAAGGAATGTCTGGGTATCCAGCCCCCAACTGTAGGGACAAAGGAGGAACAGACAAGGAAACCAATGACAATGGAGGTCTACTAGCCTTGCATCTCCTACTGAGCCAAGGGCTGATGCCTCTGTCAGGCATCCCTGAACACAGCACCTTCAATAGGGTTCTGGTTGAGGTTCTCCCTTCAATCAGCAACCTGGTCGCAATCTGCTGTCCCCAGTCCCAAGTGGCTGGCCCAAGCACTCACATCTTCTTGATCACCATTGAGAAGATCTGGGTCTCTTGTATGTTTTCTTATATGCCAAATAGTACTAATGCCTTCATTCCACCAAGACATGAAATTCACAAAATCATCTCTCTCTAAGGGGCTTTAAATGGGCCAGCAAAGCCAAAACATGGAGGCTCTGAGAGGTCTTTGGAAGGGAAAATTGGGAAGTGTGAAGTGAAGTAGGTCCTCAAATTAGGCCTTGGGTGGCCGGAACTCTACTGGTACTTCAAGAGGAGGCAGATTTGTAAGCTCTCTAAAAGCTGAAGCAAGTAAAGGCATCCTCTGACATTGTCCTCTCTGGGGCTCAGACAAGGTTTAATGTTTACCCAAAATACCAGTGATTGCCGGTGTATGACAAAATAGGTGACAAATCAAAGAGAGCAAGCTTTTCTGTCTGGACCAAGTGGGTACAAACAACGTACCTAACCAATTTTCCCTACAGTTTATTTTTTTATTTTAAAGAAACAGACATAAAAACAACACAGAATTTCAAAACAAGGTGATAGGAAGTTAACAATGGTTGTTATATTGCATATTGTTATCTTCAAAGTAGTTGCTCAGATTACCAGATACAGACATGTTGGCTTGACAAAAGTACGAGTAACCCTGGGAAGACCTTCCCTAAGAGTAGTCTGTCTCTCTGTGTGGAAGAGGTTAGAAATGGTCTGAAAGAAATGTCTTTGCCTTAAAGCACATGGGCAAAGAGATCTATGGGACACGCTAGCAGTCCTTTCCTTCCTCCCCTCTCACTCATGGACACTAAATTTAACTGAGCCAAAGGGATCCCCTCTTAGCAGACTGAACCCTCCACTAAGCCAGGTTAAGGTAAAATCCAGGTCTCCTCCTTGTTACAGACTGCACTCAATGCTCTTGGCCACTGGGATTCCCTAAGGCCAAAGGGCCCAGCCAGGAGATTTCCACCATGCTAGATTACAGTGGGGGGATCCCCAGAAAGTGAGCAGAAAAAAGGACGAGGTGTCCTCCCGCATTCACTCCCATTTAGGCTGGGTATGCAGACCCTGTCTGGTGGTCTTGGGTGGTCTTCTGTTCCCCAACTATGTTACATCTGGTGGGCCTGGAGTCTCGGGATCCCCAGACTTACCCTAGCCAGGCTCGTCTCTCTCTCCAATGTAGAAAGAAGACCAGTGCACAGTGAAAGTAATTTTATTATAGGTATTGCAGGAGGAAGAGGTAAAGAGCCACTCCTGAGGGGTGCTGGGGCCCAGAGCCCCAGAGCAGGGACATCACTGAATCTGGGGTTGTAATCCTGTTTTATAGGGAAGGGGCCCTACCACCACCTTCTTGAGGGTTGTTGATTGACTGAATATTGGACTGGTTGCAAGGAACTTGATCTTGTGGGCTAATAAGGGAACTCGGGTGGTCATGGCAACCTGGTAGGAGGGACAGAGTCGCCTACACATACGCGGGTGGGACAACCTCACGTCCACATAGACAGGTGTCAAAACCAGACTATCAGCTTAGTGCAACTACACAGAAGCAGGTCTCCATTGCACTGGCTGTCAGCTCAGCTGCGGGGGCTATTTCCTTTCTACTTAAAGGGGCCCAGTTCCCTAATCGAATCCTACCTAAGGACCCCAACTGCCCCTGTACCCACCAAAAGCTGCATAGAAGTCCCTACATTTAGGTGCCTCTGTAGTGCCCTCCCTGGAGTCCTCCTTGTCTAGCGAAACATTTTCTTTGTCTTTCCTAAGAAGCCACACTGATTTGTTCCTCACTGTGCTCTGGGACCTCATTCTGCCAGAACAAGGACGGGGAGGGAGGAGCAATGTGGTTATGATCAAGCTGGTAAATACATGGGTAAAGGTCGTGCACTTACTGTTTCACTTTAAATTCTTTACAGGAGAATGGACTTCCTTACGCATTCACAATGAGGCCATAATTCGTACGTCTTGCTGCCAGCTGGCTCCGATTCGAATTGCATCGCCTGCTGGCTTGAACCACTGGCGGTACACCTGTGACTGTCTAGAAACAATGGGTGCTGCTGGGGCCACAAGAAAAGCCAAATGTATTATGAAGCCAAATGCACAAGTCAGCCAACTTCATGTATAAAATGTGATAAAGAAATTCAGAAATATAAGCTCTTAATTTAATGAACTGAATAAATTTGATTATTGCAATATTTCAATCGGTATAGTTTTAATCAATGTTTACAGTTTGTCAGTAATTATTCAACTTTAAGCAAACTAACTAAATTTAGCCCATTTGTAGACTTTTTTATTAATTATATTAGTAAAAACAAAAGTGATTAGATCCATTTGTATCATCGGTTGTACAGGCAACCTGATTGGACAGTTCTGCATGCATCATAGGTGGTTCAAGAACACGTTAATGAAAATGAGAAACATTGCCTGGTATTATGCTATTTTCAATACATGAGAAAGTGAAATACACAATAATAGCACAGAAGGAAGGGAGGGAAGCATAGAATTATACTATTCCTAGGTTGTTTTGTTTTGTTTTGTTTTGTTTCGTTTTGTTTTCGGTATCGAGAATGGAACTCACGACCTCGCGCTTCCCAGGCAGACACTGTGCTGCTGAGCTAAATCCCCAGCCCCTTCTTTCTGGGTTTTTATCTGTGAAATGATCCAATTAATTATATTAAGTACATATTTATGAGATACAGAGCAAAAACTCATGTATGCAACGCATAATGGTCAAATCAGTACAGTTAGCATTCCATCTTTTAAAGAACATTTTAAAAATATGTATAATAGCACGTAATAATTTCTGTACATATATTTATGGGGTGCAATGTGATATTTCAATATAAGCATATAATGTACAAGGGACAAATCAAGATGTTATGCTTCCGTCTCCTTATCGTTACTTGGTATTTGAAACTTTCAAGCACCTCTCTTATAGTTATTCATAAAAGAGTAAGAAGTTATTGTGAACTACAACTCCCCCACTGTGCTATAGAACACTAGAATTTATTACTTCTTCTGATTATATTTTGGATGAGTGAACAAAGAAAATGAATTTAAAATGCTATCTTATAATATATAGCAAAATGGACAGACCCGGAGGTTGTTCTGTTAACTGACCTAGTTCGAGCACAGACGGATGAGTGCCATGTGTTCTTTCTCACATGCTGATGCCTAGAAAAGTTGGTCTGAATGTAGACTAGTGATTGCTATGGACTAGGAAAAGAGAGGAGAGGAGGATAAAAATAGGTTGCATAACTGACACCAAACCACATTTAAAAGTGATAGGCTCTTATGTGGAGATAAACAATGATAAGTTAAAAATATAAACTCTGGAAATGTGAGTCAGGTTATAAAAGCAAGGCACAAGTATTGCCAGTCTCCACAACTGTTCTGTTTTACAAGCACACACACACACACACACACACACACACACACACACACTTATACACATAGAACTAAGTAAAAATAGAATATAATAAATTACAAAATGTAAATATTCATAAGAATGCTGCAGTGTCTCTTTTAATAATGAGCCAAGAAGATATTACAATAAAAAAGATTATCAGAAATGAAATAGGATATTTAATAATGACATAATAAAGATATCAAATCACCAAAAAGATATATCAAGGATAAATGAGTATTCATGTAATAATACAAGAACAAACAACTGATATTTGACAAATGTGTGGTTACCTCAATAGAAAAAGGATATTCTTTTCCATAAAGAAGACCAAAATAATTGCTGAAAGTAAATATAAGTAATATGTATGACTCATACATAACACCAAACACATGATACATAAAAGTAAAAGTAAGTAAAAGTTAACAATATTAAAAATTTCTTAACTTTGAATAATACTGAAAAGAAAAAACCAAAATTATGAAGAATGCACATATCTAACAAAGGAGTTATAGCTAAAACCAATAAAGTTTCTGTTATGCTTTGTGTCTGGATGTCCCCCCAAAGCCTCATGCAGTCATAGGTGCGGGCTTTCAGTTTATGATTGACTCGTGGTCCAGTGTTGGGTTATGGGTGTGAGTGCTACACCTGCCCTGGGGTGGGTAGTTTGCATACAATGTAAGGGAGGGAAAGAGGCTGCTTTCCGCTGCTCCTCACTTTTGCTCTGGCTGTTCTGTTGTGTTGCCCTCTACCACGTGCCACCCTGCCTTGGAGCCAGCCAAGTACAGACTGAAACCTCCACAAACTGTGAGCTAAATAAACCTTTCCTTCCTTAATTCTGAGTGTCAGGTATTTTGTCTCAGCAACAAGAGAAAAGTAACCGAGACAGTTTCAAAACTCAATAAGAAAATATGCAGTCCAGTAAAAAAATAAAGTAAAATAATTAAATAGTCAACCTCACTTTAGAAGATGTAAACACCCAGAATGCCTAAGAAAAGTTGCTTAGAATTATTAGCCAGAGGGAAAATAAAAATTAAAACAAGTAGGTTTACTTACCATTAGAATGGCTAAAGTGAAAAATGCTAAAGCCAAATATATGGCTATGGGACACCAGGTATCTCTCATATGTTGCTAGTGGGAATGTGAAATGCTAAAATGACTTTCAAATGCTAAAATGACTTTCAAAAACATTTAAAATGTTTTTAAATCTTTAAAAAACTAAAGATACATCTATCCTACAAGCCAGCTGTTTCACTTAGTTATTTACTTCCTCAAAAAGATTAAAACATAAGTCCACACAAAACTTGAACATGTACATAAAGTTCTAAGCAAATTGATTTGTAATAGTTAAAACCAATGTCATGCTCTTCAGCAAGTTAGTGGATAAACAAAATGTGGGTATATCCATGCAAGAAAATACCACTCATTATAAAAGGATATGTGAAGTCTATAAATAAATCTCAACTATTGTGCTGAATGAAAGAAGTCAGGTTTTTAAACAGTTTATTCCCATTTATAGAAAATGTTAATTAATGTGGGGTGACTGAAAGCAGATTAGTACATAACTAAATAGGAATGGGAAGAATGACCAAATGAGAACACAGGAAACTTCACAGGGGGATAAAATTATTCATTATCTCAACTGAAGTAGCTATGTTTGTCAAAAGTAATCAAATTGTATATTAGCATGGGTTGTTTTAATGCACACAATTATATCTAAAATGTTACTATGGCTCCAAATAAATCCATAATATGACAAGCAAATATACAAGTCTTCAAATATGAGAGTGTTCATAATAGTTCAGTATAGGGAGTAATGACAAACAGCAATCTGGGGTAGCATTAACAGGATGGCTTGCATGAAAGATAGAGTCAGAAATGAATTCCCCATTAGAAAACAATATAATTATGCACAGAAAAAAATTATAGAAGGTTTGTGTAAAGAGAGTTGAATTCCAGCTTTGGGTTATTGAGGAAAAGTGTCTTTGGCACGTGACAATGAATACTATTCTAGGTGGAAAAAAAACCCCACAAAACTTTTAAAACCAATTTTCTTGGGCAAGCTTGGCTGTGAGAAATGGAAACATCTAGGTATGAAACACTCTAGCATCTCTGTATTTAATGTTCTCACTCTCAGGGGGATTGATATAAATGTCCAAAGGTGGAAAACTATTTAAATAGACTGTCACTTGGTAAGGGTCGTGGAAATAGTTCGTACGTAACAGAATAATGTGACAGAATTAGCAGTGTATTCTAGGTTGTTGAATAGAAATTGTATTCAAAATATAAAATTTTTGGAACCTCATGCAAGAGTGAAATAAACTGTAAATTAGCATTCAAGTACCTGGTTTTACTGGAAGATCTCCTGTGCCTATTTCTCAATTTTGCTAATCTTGACTTTCTTCTTTGGGATGAATTTTCACTTTTGTGTTAGATGAGAGACGTACAGGAGAGAAAAATAAAATAGTAGAGACACTAAGAATTAGACACCAATTAAGATCCAATCACTGTAGTCTTTTTCAGCCCAAGAATAGCTGATAACGCATTCAATTATCTTTTGATTTTCAACTTATTTATATTTTTATTATTTATGTCCCATATCTTTAGTAACTTATGTTACTAGAACAGTATAGGCAAATCTGAACCTATATGCTTCCTATTTAATGTATCCTACCTCCTATTGTTATATTAATTTTCATGACAACTAAATTATGCCTGTTAGAGGGTAGACAAGGTACAGTTAAAACCAAGAATACAATTCTAGGTATAAAATGCTAGGCAAGGTGGTGCATGTCTATAATCCCAGTACCAGGAGGCTGAGCCAAGGGGATCGCCATGAGTTCAAGGTCTGAAAACAAAATCTGCCATAAATAAATTTGCTACTGGACAATGAAGTTAAAATTGCAGTGAGAATCAGATCCAGTAACTAACATTAGAGGCTACACAAGACCATCCTTCTTCATAGAGTTAAACAAAGTGACAAGATTATTCCTAGGACTGTGTCATAAATAAATCTACATGTCTAAATTAGGGGATTCACAGGTAGCCTCACAACCAGGACTTCATCCAGCCCACCCACTGGTTCAGGTGCTGGGTCTATAACACTCTTACAGCTTCCAGATGGGCGTGAAACTAGCCATGCAGAGGACAGTTCCAAGACAGAGGGAGGAATGGGCTCAGACAGACAAAGCAGAGCTAAGAACACACTTCCACATGAGAGAAGACTGCATACACCCAAATCTCAAAACATATGAAAAGTAATACTAAGAAAGAAAGCAACCAATATCAGCAATGAGATCTATTCCTCGAAAATTAAAATAAGTATCAGTAAGACCTTAAGATCCTCAAATAGTTGGGGATTTTTTTTAATTAAAGAAATATGATAGAAAACAAAAATAGGCTAAATAAATCAAACAAGTGGGCAAATGAATTCAGTCATTAAATTATTTACATAAAAATACTCGTTGTATCAAGGACAGTCAAGGGAAGGGGAACATTGTTACTGGGATATGCTTTAGTGAATAATAAAAGTGTTTTAAACTCAGATTACACTGGCTGCTGTACAGGTACATAAATGTGCTAAAGGCATTAAATCATACACGTAAATGAGTGAACTTTATGGGCTGTGAAGCTCTAAAATCATAATGAAGCTCTAAAATCATCATTAAAGTGTGAATTTATGATAGAAAAGTCAAACT